CGCGGATGTATGTTGCGGAAATGCAACAACGTGCGGAGCCAGCACTAAGTGCATTTTGTAGATGTTTTTATTGTCGTTTATTGCTCTGTTACAAATATGCAATAAGGTGCAGCAAAGGGTTAAAACAATTAAAAGTAATATGTCCCTTAAAGCATTTAAAGCAATATGTCATTTAAAGCAATTAAAAGTAATATGTCCTTTAAAGCAATCATCAGGCCACTTTAAGGCATGTATATGCCCGTTTGGTTTTCCCGCTAAATTGAGCGGGGAAAACGACATCACATGACCTGATGACAGGTGACCTATACAGAAATTCAGTTGTTCCGCTAGATTTAGCGGGAAACTTGACGTCACGTGATCTCCCCTAATTATTTTGCCTTGCTACATTTAAGGAGGAAACAATGTCACATGACTTCCTCTCACGTGACCTATACACAAATGTAGTTTCTCCGCTACATTTGGCGGAAAATTGACGTTACGTGGCCATGTTCCATGACCTACACATGAATTAAGTTTCCCTGCCTAATTTAGCGGTAAAAATGACATCACGTAATGTCATGTTGCCTCGACACAAATTCCGTTGCCGAGCTATATTTTCGTGCAAACTTGATGTCACATTACTTCATGTCATTTCACTTCAACACTCATTGAATTTCCTCTCCAAATTCAGCAGAAAATTGACGTCATATCGCTTGATGTCATGTGATTTAGGCACAAGTCTAGCTTACCTGTTAAATTTAGACGTGTATGCCACGCCTTACAAAAATGGCACGTCTGGACTTATATTAAAAAACAAAACAGATAGAGTTATATGAAACAATTGGGCATATCTGGCCGCATAAAGCATATCAGTTTATATAAGGCATATCTGACCAGACATACCCAATTTTTTTATATATCCATATCTGGGTCGGTCAAATAGGGTTACACTGTTGGGACCGAGCGGTGTCCGGGCACTTTAGGTACGGCAGGGAACCGAGCCAGGGCAGGAAATAATGTAGAGGCCGGACTCGGGAAGGACCAGGCAGCAGGAGGGGTGTCTCGTATATACCTTTTTGTATATACATATGGACAGGTTACATCATTTGCCGAAAGAGCACTAGAGAACACTGTCGAGAACACAAAGTAGCAGCCGCCTGCAGCTGCCTTTATAACGTCACTTTTCCCCACATCCCTAGCAGGGAATCCCCAGGGTTCAGGCCTTCACCAAGACTGTGGGGCCAGTGTCCTTAATATTCAGGTATGCCCTTCCCCTCTCTCTCACACTGCCACACGCGGCACACACACGGAAGGGCCAGACATCCTTGGCTACGGTGTCGCCGGTCAATGTCGGCGGACAATGTTGCCATCGAAGTCGAGGAAGGCGGAAGACATCCAGGCGTCCTGGCTTCCGTGTGTCAGGGGATAATCCCATGGGCGATCTAAGCTGGGGAAATTGAGTAAAGCCCCCTCCTTTGTCGAGGACGTCCCAAAGCTGTCGGGTCGTTGTGCGTCGAGGTCAGACAGAAGAAGCAAGGAGGGGGGCCGGACGGCAAGGACGGCCTGATGACACTGGTGTGGGTCAACCCGATGATCCTTCGGAGAAGGTCACGTCGTCCCCGTGTACCAAGCTGCGCTGGCGGCTCCAAGGCGCCTCTCGCTCTGTCTCCGGATGCAGCTGACCGTAGCCACCTCGCGACGATGCTGCAGGGCGATCACCCGTGCTGGTCGGTTTGGGAGGGCAAGGTCGTCTCCTGGGGCCTTTCGCAACAACACGTGTCCGCCTCCCATATCAAGCCATATATGTCCCAATCAAATAAGGAAACCTTTGTATATATTGTTGTTCTCTACAAATATTTACCAGAAGTGACTTCTCATCCGAATAACAAAAATGCCAATTGGATATTGAGCATGTACCAACTTTTATTAGCTTTTTACGTGAACTGCTTTACGCCACGCCTGATTTCGCTCAACTGGGTTCCCAAGGAAAGCAGCATTATCGACATTCGCATAGCGATTGTCGACGAAACGTGTCTCAATGAAATGTGTATGCACGAAAAGGTGGCCGTGGAACGTGTTATCACGACACGCAGGGAGAGTAAAAAATTCAGTATTCTACCCTCAGTTATGACATGATTTCAGACGGCCAATGGCAGGTTACTGCTGGTAGAATTTCGGGAAAATTATTCGCCCGGCGGCCACGAGATAGACACGGCCTAATTCTAGAGGTAATCTGGAAGAGTACCTGTAGGAAAATGATCAGTGGTCGTGAAGTATTTTGCAGAGCACCTACGTTGATGATACCGGACTTGAAATGTGTAATCCGAGATATATGTCGACACGGGCATGGCAGAACAGCCCCTCAAACACAGAAGCGAGAAGGAAGGCGTCCGTGAAGATTCAACACGATGCAGCACACGCTGTCATTTGTGGACCCGAACACTAAACGGATCACAAAACGTCTTGGTTTTTTGTTTTTTTTTAAGAGATCGCTTGTTGCCGAAATACGGCTAGCACTTTTCGAACGAGATACCATTTACTGCAGATGCAGAACCCACAGCAGCCATGCAAGGCGCACCACTCGCCATATTGGTTCGGCAAGCAGGCCTTTGAAGATTGCACAATGCCAACTGCTAATGTGTCATCTGTCACGCGGCGTGATCGCGTTTCCACCATATATGGCCGTGTATAAAATATATTAGGGCCATATATTACATTTTCGTAAGGAAATGCTCATTCAATTTCGTTATCAGCTAATCGCCTAATTAGACAAGAATATAGTTAGTTCTGCCTGAATATTTTTATGTATAAAGAGCTGCGCAACAAAATGCGTGAGAAAAAATAGCCTTACGTCATTTTGCAAACACGCACGCCAACACCTAGCGTAACGTACAAGCGGACGTACGTTGCAACTAGAATATAGGTTGGCGGCTCGCGATCTTTGTGCAATGTTTTTTTTTCGACCAGTTTACCTAAATTGCGCAATTTATATGATCTTGGCGGATCTTTAACGAATAGGAGAGGTACAAAAGAATACTTTAGAGTCTTTCTGGGGTTATGCAACTTAGTGATACCATTGTACGACTGCCTGCAATGAATATCTCCTTCGAAAGTGGCCACGCCGCGTCGTCACGTGCAGAGAAGTGATCAACCCCCAGGGGCTAGGGTGCGCACTTTGACCAAAGGCTAGTCGATGTGCGATGGGCATAGCCAACCTCTTAAACGCCATTTTGAGTATTCCGTGTAGTCATGTTTTTTAGTATAGCTAAACGTCAACCAGTACACAAACATATCTTTGATTTTATCTTGTGTCCTGGTAACGTCCAGTGTTAAAACTTGTGCCTTCTATCACCAATCACTTGGGTCCCATTCCCAAGGAGTTCCCGCATTTTGCGGTACGCAGTTTATTTATGCGGTCGGAAAACCCTGGTTTAATCTTTTTTTCACGTACAGGATATATACAGGTTGACATACAGTTAGCACAAACACGTAGACCGCGGTTCTGTAGAAACGTCTTCCGCAGCTGAAAAACAGTCATCCGAATGCCTGGATGGGTGAAATGTCTACCTATCGGCTAATAACTTGGGCAGTGAAATTAGGCTTTGAGCACTGGACGGAATATGCAAAATTCGAAAAAACCTACCTGACGTGCGACACGTTGCACATTTACGAAACCTTGAAGGTATTGCGAAGATCGTATAATGTACTGAGAACTCAAGAGCCACAGCGTAAGGGCCACGTGACATTATCCATTTATTCTACTAATGAATTTAAGTTCTATTTTATGATGATTGTCGCATCGAGATGGTTGTCACATCCATTGTGTGAAGTAGTTCATAAAAGTTTGTCCAAGAAAGAAACAATATTTCTGGCGCTTGAAACTTGTATGCCTTAATGGAATGACATAAAGCAAGTCAAAGATATACATGTGTAAACATCTTAATTCAACACCTGAACAAGGAAAGTAGTAACACTCTGCATTATTTTAGAGGTTTGTTACAGTGCTTTTTGAGGGGAACACAACTATGTTGACTCTTCAGCTATGTTCTTCTAAGATGCTGGAAGCTCATGCCCATGCAGTTTTAAGCTTTCAGCAATTATTGAGAAGAGAAAAATATTCTAGAAAACATATCTCTAGTTAGTTGCAACTGACTTGTTCACATATACTTCTCAGCAACGGGGTGAACTTGTGGGTACAACGAGCTGATAGAACACCCACAAGTATAATCAAAGGATATCCACTAGACTCCGACTTCATTCCCTTGAGTTTGAGTTCAGACTCAAATTTTGGAAGTGTGTTGCATCAGCATTTGGTTGGGCCTCGTGTTCCGTCAAAGGGTGAAAGGACACTCTTCGGTGGGCGCGGGCTCAATTGCTGCGTTCGTGCGATATACTTGTGGCAATTTTACATGGAGGTAGATGAGGTGGTTCAGAGGCTTTGGGCATTCTAGCTGCTGTTAATTGTTTCTACTTTGTACACAAAAATATTTAGTGGTGCTTTCACTTTTAAGTTTACGGTCTGAACAATATATGTTATTCACGCCTAACAGCCACTTTCTTTGACTTGCGGTCAATAAAACGATATGGTCGCCCAAGAAACCTACGCTAATGACACCGGACACTACATACGGCACTATGATTTGCGTGATTTTTAAGCATCCTTAAAACTAGTCGTTACAAAGGAGAAAAAAAAAAACTTTTCACAGTGCTTTTAGGAAAGTGATACCCTCCCATCTGGGTCACCATGTCCCCGCTAAGTAATAGCATTTACAAGGTAATTAAAGCACTAGAAAAACCTATCTTCTTATTCTCAACGAAGCCTCGCGCCAGTGTAACATTACCTATCTATTGAACACTTAGATTATTTGCCTTCTCAGACTGGCGCCTCGGGGATTGACAGAGCGCTTCTGTTCCTTTGGTGTGTGTGTGTGTCCCCGGGATAGTATTTCGTGCATAGAATGATAAAGGCGACACGTTAGCTGACATCCTGAACACCCAAAGGAAGTCCGGTGGTGACGTACCTGGCAGTTGTGGATGACCAGCACGTGTTCCCCAGATTTCTGGCTGGGCGTATTGGACGTCAATATATCGCAGCCTATTGAAGGCATGCGGTAAAGACGGTAAAGTTTCTGGTACTGCGTCATGTCCAAAGTCATTGTTCCGCGGGCTTCAGGCGGGAGAAGTTGCCTGTTTGGAAATGTAATAAATTATGGAGAATGAGATATCTATTTTAAACACTTGTCTTAAAACCCCATCAAGAAACATTTGTAGTCGCCAATTTTTACGCAAGAAGCGTGTTATTGAATCCAAGTATCCGCCGTGCGCTGACACCTTCATCGCGCCCAATGCCTTCTGAGAGTATGTCATCAAACTTTGGCCGATTCGGAGAGTTGGTGCAGCACCTGCTAGGTGCCGCGAACGTTTCATGCAATCTCACCTTTCAATTAAATGCTTGAAATCCAGTGCTCCTGCGGCGAGTGCGGCTGCCTGTCTGCAAGCACATCCCACATATTGTCATTGTGAAGGTTAAACATGCCGTGGAGCAATGCGTGTATTATAAATGTTTAAAGATACCTCAGTTGACCTTTCTTCGTTGTATATTTGTGCCTCGGAAGACACACTCCTACTGCAGTGCTGGACATAGGAAGTCTAGATTTGGTAAATATCTCGGCAAACCTTTCTGAAAACTTTAAGATGTTTCGTTCGTCAGTCTCCAGCGTTCTTACCTTTTAACATGTAAATTTAAAACTAATTAGAAAAACCGCCGTGGAAAGTGGCAATGCTTACCCAGTTTTGAGAACATGAAGCTCGATCTACAAGTAGCTTGTGCAGAATTTCTCCTTCGCCACCAGGCTTGCCAAAGTCGTGAATAACCTGCCAAGAGCACTATGACGTTTTGATTGTGTTCCGCAAATAATTGTTTTGTTTCACAATAACGCATATGTTGAGGAAACGACATTGGCGCGCTCTCATTGCTCTTAGAGGTTCTCTGTTTGTGTGGCGGGCGAAAAAGGACAATAGACGACGCCAAAAAAATTATTTCTTTTTTTGTTCATTCTTTGTGTAAACTTTCTTAGGCCTATTCCCTTTCCTCAGCTCCGAGGCACAAAAGAAGCAACTTTATACTTCCTGTGGTCTTGATTTCGAACGCAGCCGACGCACGTGCTGACGAAACCAATTATATAACTTCAAAAGCGCACCAACATGGTATTCGGAATATTTATCTACATAATCTATCATCGATGAACCATTCATGTGCAGCGAAGGCCCCCTGACTTTCGCTTTTGATATAGCTAGATTTGAGGAAGATGCTCGTAGCGTCTGCTGCGTTCGCAGTGAGCTGAAACGAAGTGTAGGTGCTTTAGGACATTTATGAGAAAACGCTCGTGCAATCTCCCTGCTCCCCAAATACGCGCCATCCGTCATCAGCTCTGAACAAAGGTAATCGTACTTAGAACCACTTCATCTGTTCATTGAAAGTTGTGTCCTCTGGTCATCACTTCAATTACCTTGACTACAGCTAAAATTTTCGTGAGAACGCTGTTGGCCCAAGGTAGGACAGGGCGCCCGACGCTGTCTCGATCTTGACCCCCCATTATCCGCCTGCGCACGGGCGCTTCTTGTGCACCGCCTGGTAAATCGCAGGGGAGCAATGCTGCGCTAGCTTCAGAAAGGCATTTTTCATGTTACTTAAGGCCAGTGTAGTAGTCGTCGCGGAAGAACCTAACGAAATACGTTACTCGGTACTGAAGGAGAAAATGAACGCGTTACCGGCCAACCTTACCTCAAAATGAAGACGACCGCCTTTCCGTTACCGATAAGAGTAACGCACTTTATTTATGCCTTTTTTACGTCTATTCCTCCTGCCTGTGACTAACGGCGATGGTGTTTTTCGACATTGGGATAAAGGGTGTGTAGTTTGGGATTTTGCCTAAACTAGGAGGGATTCCTCAAAAAAAAAAAAAAAAAGCCAAAATTTGAAAGTACGTAAGATGAGTACCAAGATTCACATGACTTGCTCGTAGAAATACGAAAAGTGTGAAGTGTAATCGTTTCGAAGTATTGGGGAGAATACCAAACCACTGATCTCTATTTTAGTAGGCTGGATCGCGGATCGGGAGCCCGTCGGTGTCGCCACCGGCGGCCATTGATTGACACCAGGCAATACACGCAAGTCTATGGGAGAAACGCACAAAAGTAAGCATATTGAAGCATGTACTATCGGGGAAAAATGAAATGCGAACAGAGGAGCGCGTGGCTCGCGGTACAGGCTGCGCCGCCTGGAAGTGAACCTAGGGGCGAGTGTGCGTGGCCTACTTCGATGTGCTCACGCCCCTCGATTGGCGCTCCCCCAGCTTCGGCAGCGCGCCTCGCAATGCGCTGAAAGCTGTCACCGCTATCTTTGCCTGCTGGGCGAGTGCGGCGAGCTTCTTTGCACCGCACACGCTGAGCCAGCAAAGATAGCGGTGATAGCTTTCAGCGCACTTAGTGGCGCACTGCTGAAGCTTGGGGAGCGCAGAGGGAGGGGCGTGAACACGTCGGAGTAGGCCACGCACCCTCGCTCCTAGGCTCACTTCCAGGCGGCGCAGCCTGTACCGCGAGCCACGCGCTCCTCTGTTCGCATTTCATTTTTCCCCGATAGTACGCTGTGCTCGGAGGCGAGTATTTTATTGTGCACTGCGATCCTAATGTCGGGTGTTTGGAGATCGAATCGGTATTTGTCAAACGTCCGGTCGCCAAATAAAAAAATCAAACGTACAGGAGCACCTACGGCTGAGCAGGCAAGCTTGCTCTCGTAGTGGAGTAAACAAAGGAACTTGCCGTCAATGAGACCGTCCTCAGGGAAGCCCAGAAGTTGATGAATGACAAGGAAGTTCCATCTCGACAGAGGCTTTCCGGGAGTGAGCGAATTCCGCGTTGCAAAGCCTTGGAGCTTGTCGTCTGCTAAACCCAACTCAAAAAAACCGCCACCGACTCCGCGGTAACTCTAGGTAACTCACATCATTGAGCTGCACTACTGCGGCGTCACTCTCAACCACAAAATATTTATTTATAAGAATTGAGAGGGCAGTCAGTTTTAATGTTTGTAAGCAAGCTATTTGACGGGCTTATCAAAAAGCATCCAAAAAGTTTCAGTGCCGAGAACAGCTTAGAAACAGGGGAAAACGGCACTTTTTCTCGTTCTTCCCATAGAGTCCCATGCATTGGCTGGTGTCAATCAATGGCCGCCGGTGGCGACACTCGGCCCCAGCTGCCGAGGCCGCGATCCGCGATCCAGCCTACTACAATAGAGATAAGTGGACCAAACGAATAACGTAGGTGCGTTGCATGTGAATGGAAATGAGTAACGTAACTCGTCACGCTTTACAGCTTTAAAACGTAGCGAGTATATTACCAGGTTGCGTAAAATGTAACGCGTTACCGGTAACGCCGTTAACGTAACGCGTTACCGCTAAAAATATTCAAGTGCAACCAAAGAGATGTCAACATCGGGAACAGATGCTGCTACGCACATTATTTGCTGGAATGCGAGCGGACTTTTTCCCTCTACTTTTATTCTCATTTCAAATGTTTTTTTTTGTTTTTGTTTGTTTGTTTTCGGTGAGAAAGTTTTTTTTTCGTTTCCGTCCTCGGGCAAATTATTGGTGCGAGCTTATGACGTAGAGCAGGATGTGGCCAGAGTATCGAACCGGAAACCAATCGAACTGAAAATCGGAACCCAACCATCATTTTAGCGGAACTGGGACTTTACTGTAGTAGGATCGTCGCCGCCTTTTTTTAAAATTAATTCAGAGCTGAACGGGGAAAAACATTACGGTAACCGTTTCAAACCTCAGGCAGTCTTGGTGAATTTAGCCGCGTAAGAAAAAAAATGTTCACGAGGTCAAAAACATTAAAAAAAAAGCAGCAGATATTCTTGAAGGAAAAAAACGAGTTAGGGCTGAATTATAGCCTATTTTCGTCCCGCAAATTTGAATATCACAAGCATTCGACCGGCACGTGCCATTAGACACGAGAAAAAACAAAAATCCAAGCAATGGCTCTCATCTCATTCCTCAAGGGTTTAACTGCCTCGCGCGCGGGGCTTGCGAGGAAACACTTGCAGCATTTTGGACTGCCCGCGAAAGGCTTTCAGAAGGCACGGGAATGTTGAGATTTCTGCATATTACATCATTATCCCCTCCTGCCACCGAGCGCGCCGGAAAGGAGGGCCACCAGCAATACTTAAAACGCGGTGTTTTGGCTACTTGATCGATCAATCTGTAATATAATTCTGAATCCGGAGGTAAGACAAGGACGATTTACATAGTGTTTTCTTTTTTAATATAAATAAAGAACCACTTCAGTTTCTTTTTAAGCGCTCTTTCAGGTTAGATTCAACCTGAGTACGAATCAGTGATGTGCACATTGCTCGCAAAAAGTAATCGATTACTATTCCTAGTACTCTTGGTTAACACGTATTTCTTTAGGTTACTCGATTGCTTCAGAGGAAGAGAAATTGACCGTTACCTGAAAAAGTACGGAGCGCTTACAGATTACTCGAGTTTTCTCAGGCAGCATATCTTAATGCTGGTTTGAAAAAGGGTCATTCTCGATGTCCGTTATGCCGGCAAAAACTGGGGGAGAAGAGGAAACCTGAAGGACGTCAGAATGCCCAGCTCTGGTGGAAAAGCTTAGTGGGTACACGCAAGTCTAGCTACCTTTGCCTCCACTGCGATTGTCGAGCACTTTAGAACGCGAAAATCCATCGTCCGGCGTTTGGCTTTTATAGTCAAAACGCGTTTGAGCATAGCCTCCTATATACTGACAAAGCATGGCAGATCCCTACGAAACGCGGCTGCCAAAATGGAAAAAGTGGAGCGGCAGACAACGAATGAGAGGAGAGCCAGTTTACTGGCGTCCCGCTGCGGCGAGTCGCCGAAACACACTTCTCCCGAGCGAACAAGTGTGCTTCGCGTCCTAGCCGCAGCAAAAACCGTGCGCTGACGTCCAAGTTTCCCGCGAAATGGCTCTTCGATGCCCTGTGCTACCACTATCATCGCGCTCCAAATCTGCGAGCGTGCACTCTATGGCTCCGTCGATAAACTGCCAGGCTTTGTAAGTATAGAGTTGCTATCGTTCGACGAATACGATTGAGATAAAGGCTGGCTCTACG